TCATGCTTTATGACTCATCTCATGCCTTGCCTAAGGCTCTTAATACCCACAAACATATACTCATTTCCATTTTGATGCCTTTAAGTATTTCATGATTTCTGCTGCCAGTAGATGGCTAAGGTTTGTCATGGGTGAATGGCAGAAGTTCATAGTCATGACATCTTCTCTGACCTTCCATTGCTACTTCTAGGGATAAGCATTTGGAAATCCTTGAGAGGCATAGCTCTAATGCTCAGTCAGGTCCCTTCTTGCAATATATGTATTTAAGGAATGGAGAGTTTCCTTCAGATAAAAATGGTGATTGAAGATTTCAAATTTTCTCCTTTCAAAAATCTATGACTCTGAAAAGGTGAAAAATAATTTTACGACCTATCTTATTCAAAAGGTTACTGATGATTTATCATGGCTCTAACCGAAGGCACAGCTATCTCCAGCTGTTAAAATTGCAGATAGACTGGGTATGGTTATTATCTTGTTTCACCATGAAATGGGAGTGGAAATATAAGGGAACGATTTTGCAACAGAACCACATTGAAAACAAGTTCCATAATTCAGTCTCCAACTTGAGTTCAGGGAAGCTTACAAGAGGCTGTCACTTTATTGGAACAAAGAGTTTTCTTATTGCCCTTAACGTGGATCTCGATTTGTGAGTGAGGATCTGACTTCAAAGCTCTAATTTCCTATATCATCCTGACCACCTGTGTCTTCTTGTCCATTAATAATTGTAGAGCTCAATCATTTTGTCTTGTTCTGAAAGTACCAAAGTGAAATTCCATCTTTTGCACATCATTAGCTTTCATAACAGGTAAAATTACAGGATCTCTCTGGGTTACCATGAATTACAAAATTTGCTCCAGCTCTTTTTTTGTGTATGCATTTGATATTGTACACATCATTTTACAGCCCTGATGGAGAATTCTCTGTTGGAGTTTTTTTTTTTTTCCTCTGAATACTTACGTGTAACAATTCTTCCCTATTGACTGAAACCTGTTAGTTTTGTCAGTCCCAGCCACCGTATACCCAACAAACCCTTGTTCTAAGTAGGGCTGCAGTTCTCTGTAGGCACAGTCATCTCTACAACTTAGTGACTGGGAATCAATAGTCTCCATGACTGGGCCTGTAAGCTCTCACTTGGCATAAGTATTTCTAAGCCTCTGAGAATTTAAATCTCAACACCATATTAGTGGTATATTTAATCCATGATTCAAAGTTCTTTCCTCTGTTCTCGGCTTGGTTCTTTTGGAGAATATCCAGTTTCTAGTGGAAAAAGTTTATACCCATGGATTACAAGTCTGTTTCACTGAAGTTACACAATAATAGCTCAGTCCTTAGGGGATCATTGATACAACTGAGCAGTAACTTAAAGCTACCTCCTCTTGTAATCCTAAAATGATTCTGAGATCTTATAAAAATAATCTACAGAGTTCAAAATTATAAACTACATTCCCTTCAAGTTTACAATTCTGTATAATGCTGTACAAGCCTCTCTGCCCACAGCATCTTCTCCTAACTGGTACGTTCTCCTCACTGACTCTGTATTTACATTCCAAGAGCCAAAATGACTCACATCTAATTAAGCCTCACTCTCTTATGCTCTGCGTCCAGTTGTCTGGCAATCATGGTTAAAAGGAAACCTTGGCACACGTCTGTGTCGATTTGTTATTCAGAAGCATAGCTGAGAATTATGACTAAGTACAAAATCACAGGAAATAAGTGAGATCCAAAAAAAATAAACAGGAACGAAACAAGAGCACCCTTATGTAATCCAATCTATGCACAACATTGTGTGGAAAAAAAAAAACAGTCTAACAACCCAATGTAATTAAAAGATGAATTCCAAAACTGGAGTAGTATCTTAAAATTATAATTTATAATCTACAACAGTATTTCCTTCTTTTTCTTTCCCCAACCGTGTTCATGTGTTTTTGTGAAACACCCCTACTTTATTCTCACTTGAGTTCACATTCCTGAACCTCTCTTCTTCCTTCCCTCCATCTTTCGGAGCCTGGCCCAAATGGCTGGCTAGTGGAGCTTTTATTTCCTTCCAAAGGTCATAGCAGATTACATTAAGAAGACTGAAGCACTCTAGCTTTTTAAGCCTTGCTATGGTTTGAAAGTGTACTTTTCAAACTCTAAATGCTGAAACTTAGTGTTGCATGGTACTGTTAAGAAGTGGTTAGGCCACAAAGGCTACTCTCTTAATGAATGGGATAAAGACTCTTAAAAAAAGGTTTCCTGTAGCATTCACTGGCTTACTCTTGTGTTCTGCCATGTGAGAAATCAGCATTCATCACTTTTGACATACTGCCTTCTACCATGTGAAGATGCAGCAAGGAGGCCCTCACCAGATTCTGGCATCTTAACCTTGAACTTCTCAGTTTCCAAAGGTGTGAGAACATAAATTTTTGTTCTCTAAGTGGTAGCATATGTGGTAGCAAGTGCCTGTAATCCCAGCAGCTTACAGCAATTGCAGGATGGGAAGTTCAAAACCAGCCTCAGCAACTTAGCTAGACCCTAAGCAACTCAGCAAGATCCTGTCTTAAAAAATATAAAGGGCTGGGAATGTGGCTCAGTGGTTAAGCAACCCTGGGTTCAATCCCTTGGTACCAAAATAAAAAAAAAAAAAAAAGGAAACTGACCATGAGAATGTGTTTCACAGGCATTGAGAAAGCTCAGCTATTTATCAAGAGAGGTCACTGGAGACACTGTTAATGGACAGAAACTGCTGAACTAAGGGTTATGGAATTAATAGCTATGTATTGGGAACTGATTCAAAGCTATGCTTTGAACCTCTTAGAGTTCAAATAAGGAAAGTTTGGATTGATACAAATAAATATAAAGTTCTAGTATGAAGAAAAGATAAATCTATAAATTGGCATGTTTCATTTAGGGATTCAAAATGGTTAGCTTTGGCAAAAGAACTATCAGGAAAAAGATATAGTATATTATGAGAAGTAGTGGGACAGGAGTACACAAGTTACACACTTATTCACTCACTCACTCACTCATTTATTCATCCAGTCACTCATATTGCAAGTGTTTGCTGAGTATCTGCTATCTGCCAAGCATTGTGTAGGTGCTGCACATGTATCAGTGAACAAATCTCCAAGCTATGCTCTGGATGAGGAGAAGCCTCCCAATATATAAGAACATAAGCAAGTTAAAGTTGGTATATGTGACTCAGAGATGCACAGTATAATACATTAAATGAGAGACCCTGAGACATCTTGGCATGTTCCCAACTTCTAAATTGAGATTTTAAAAAAAGAAAATTAATAAGAATTGATCAAGTGAACAGGAAAGAAAAGAAAATTCTAGTCAAAGAATGCAGCATACAGGAAGACTCTGATCCCAGAAATAGATTGGTATCTAAAGGAAATGTAAATTTGATCCCTGAATATAGAATCAGAAATAGCAAGCAGGAGAATGATTTCAAGTAAAATTGGGGCAGGGGAGATAAGAAAGAAAGAGGGAGTGTGAAAGAATAAAGACCTAGTAATGGGTTCTCATTAAGTAGATAAACATAAATTTTGTTTGAACCCTTAACAGAACAAAGGAGAGAAGTTAACATAATTTCCTAAGACCCTTATATTATAGCAAAATCCCACTAGCTATTTCACTAGGTAAGATAAGAACAGAGAGAACAATGCATGTTACTTAAAGAAGATGCTCAGATTGTAAGGAAACAATGTTATAAAGATCTCTGGCCTCTCATAGAAATAGAGATGAAAAATCATTCGGCTCTGGGAGAACACATAATAGAAACAGCAAAATAAGAAGGAACTGAGACACTGAGAAAGGAACAGAGAGATGCACGGGTAACCAAGGAGTTTCCTTCAGAGGAAACATTTGTCTGTTGTTATGAAATTCTAGTGAGACAGCAGGCCAATCCCCACCACCAAAGTTCTTAAAAATCTAAAGGTATAGGTAAACGACTAAGAAAGCAGATCAGTAATCCCACTTTACAAGAATCCCCAAGTGCCGTAAGGAAATAACAATGGGTAACATGGTGACCACATCCTGTAGGGAAGAAGTATTCATATTATTTCACTTAATCCATCTAACTACCTCTAATTTGATATCATTATTAATCCCTATCACAGATGAGGAAACATCATCATAGAGAGGTGAAATAACTCGCCCAGGACCCCACAGCTACTAAATGAATGAGCTGAGGCTTAAGTGTGTTATGACTCAAAAGCTTAGTAAATAGTACTACACTTTGCTATTTCTCTGCATTGCCTTTTCAATGAGAAAACAGCATAGGGCAAATGATAGATGAAGAACTTTCAAGTAAGGAGGCAAAGGAGGAAGGGAGAGAAAAGAGGAGTAGACAGAATTTGAACGGTGTCAACAATTCTTCACAAAAGGGTCACAGATTTTTCTAGTTGGATAGTTCAGGACAGTCAGATTGATGTTTTTAGTGCTAATGTATATTTTCTAAAATATAAAGTTCATGCCCTAGTGGGAGCCAATTAGTCTGGGTCTTCTTTTCTGGCTTAATACAGTGCAACAATGTGCCATCTGGAGTTATGGAAGGCAAAAAGAAAAACTGTGTTTCCTTAGCTGCCCCAGCATGGAGGCAATGAACTCCTTTGCAGAGAGCTGGATTTGAATCCTCTTGGCTAAAGACTCTCACCAAATGGTTGGAGAACAGATATAACTTTTTTTAAAGTCATTTTTCTTTCACTATTAATTATAGTTTTCACACTTTATGACTGACGAGCATTTAACCATGTACATTCGGGTAATCTGACTTGTAGTAATAGTAAGAATATAGACATAGGAAGGGCTAGGAGTAAGGGTTAGTACTTTCTAATGTACTTACATTTTCTTGCACACAACCTCTCCTTTCCTTTCTTTTTTATATGCTGACATCTATTTGAATGTATTGCTAAATCTCAGGTACCTAAGTCTAGAAGTGGCATTAAAATGAGATTGCTTTTATTGATCCCAGAGAAAAAGCCTTGGTACTGATTTAGCCAGTTGCTTTTTGATAGCAAATTCGAAGAAACGAAAAGCACAAATGAATTTTCAGCTCCCTGAGATCCTAATCTAAACCAAGCAAAACCGTGTTGGAGACAGGTAAGGCTTTCATTTCATGTGGGTTTTGAAGGGTTACTTAGAATTCTTCTTTCACAATCTCTCACTATTTAGCAGATCCTTTGTATGCATGTATTCGTGCACTCAGCACACTAGTGACACACCAGTAAGCAAAAGCCCGAACCCATGAGACACTAGCAGTCTAAGGGAAGATCTTAATGTCCCTTGAAATAATTAAACATTCCCATACCAAATATTTTACTATGGAATAAGGTTTCAGAATTCAGTTCTTGATCAAGAATGAGATGAAAATATATTATTTATTAAACATCATTTCTAGAAAGGTGGGCAGGTTGGTGTCTTAGTCAGCTCCAGGTGCCATAACAAAGCACCATAGACCAGGTGGCTTAAACAACAGTAATGTGTTTTCTCACAGTTGTAATTAGAAGTATGAGAATAAGGTGGCATCAGGGCTGGTATGTGATGAGGGCTTTTTTCTATGATACAGACCGTTGCTTTCTATCATGTTCTCACATAGTAGACAAAGGGATGTCTTTATCTTCATCTTCTATTTTTTTCAATTTTATTGAATATAATTGACAAAAATTTTTACATATTTAAGGTATACAACATAATGATTTGTGTACATTATAAATACTACATAATTAGGTGGATATGGTAGTACATGCCTATAATACCAGCAACTTGGGAGGATGAGGCAGGAGGATCACACATTTGAGGTCAGCTGTAGAAATTTAGTAAGACCCTCAACAACGTATCAAGCTCCTCTCTCAAAATTAAAAATAAAAAGTGCTGGGAATGTAGATGTAGATCTGTGGTAAAGCGCATATATATATATATACACACTAAATCTCCAGGACCAAAACAACAACAAAAAATATTGCATGATGATTATCATGATCAAATTAACAGACATACTTATCATAATGCAGTCAGTCTTTCGTGTATTGTGTGTGTGTGTTAAGGAAATTTCAGATCTTAGCAATTTTCAAGTAAACATTACAGTATTGTTAACTATAGTCACCGTGCTACATATGGGATCCCCATTTGTTCATATGTACCCTTTTACTAATCTCCCCTCCACTTCCCCAACATTGCAGAAAATGTAAGACCTGAAATCAAAAAAATTCCTAAAACAAACAACAACAATAAAACACACACACACACACACACACACACACAAGAAAAGTGATATGGGCCTTAGCAAAGACTTTTTGGATACAAGACCAAAAGCACAGACAACAAAGCAAAATAAAAACAAGTAGCATTATATCAAACTCGAGACCTTGTGCACAGCAAAGGAAACCACCAGCAAAATGAGAAGGCAACCTATGGAATGGGAGAAAATATATGCAAATGATACATCTGATAAGGAGTTAATATCCAGTATACATAAGGAGCTCACACATCTCTTCCTCTTTTTCAAAACCATTATCCTATGGTATAGGCACCACTTCTCTCATCTAACAGACATAAGGTATACAGACATTAAGACACAATTTACTCCATAGCAGTTGGAAATCACTGTAAAGACATTTAGCCAAATATCTTCCAAATCTTACAGATTTGCATTAATATAAACTCTGTATTGTAAAGGAAATAAGATCACCCAATCTTTCTCTTAAAAAATGGACTCTCCTTCAACCAGAATGATTCAAAAAGAGGCACTTGTGAATTTCTTGATCCTTCTTGTCTCTGGGTTGCTTTTATTCTAAAGAAGTGAACATAAATTGTTTAGTCTTTAAAACATCCATCACAATCTACGACTAAAATCATCTTGCAAACATTGCCTTTTTAAAATAGGAAGTTTTATAGTGTTTTTCAGATATACTTCTCAACTGAGTGAAAAAAATCTTGTTCTTTTGCTTCATTTTTCTTTTCACTCCAAGGCACAATAAATGGTATTGCTAATTGCCCTATTAATGGTGCACTATCCAGGAACTATAGTTCCCACTGTGGGCCATTACAAGTAGTCAGAAAAGGTCACTGTGACTCAGAGTGAGTGCTGCAGGTGAAACAAGTTGGCTCCATGAGTCAGTGATGATTCATTCTCAGATCTTCCTGCCACAAAAAAGTTTAGCAGTGTCTGTTTTCAGGATGAGAAACTTCACCGATGTGTCATTATTCAACAGGGCTTCACTTACATTGCTCGTCTGCAATTTTCAAATCTAGCTAGTGTTTATTGGTTATTTATTTTAAATAGGAACTGATCTCCATCACCAGGCATTAACTGAGCATCATGTCTGTGCACTGGATGGCACTGAGAATAAAATACTATTAGGACAACCAGGAATTCCCACTGGAATGAGGAGGAAACATCAGAGCAGTAGCCAGGCCAGATAAAACATCATCTCCTCTTTGCATTCATGCAATGACATCCAGACATCTACCCTTTCCCCACACAGGTGCTCAAAGACTCCACAAGACACCATCAGGACTCATTCCATTGCACCATTCATTTTTGCTGCCAGTCACCCAAGCAGTCCAGAACACCAAAGTCATCTTTCACCCCTCAGATACCCATTCCCATATCATCCATATGGGTCCCTTCTAACCAATCACCCACCTACTTCAATTCTTAAAGCCCTCCCACTGTATGTTCTGAAACTCGAGGTCAATCATGAGCAAAATCTCTTCTATCTTCAGACAATTCTTTGCTGATTTGCTCTAACTAAATAAAAACTGGGTCACCTTACACTCACTGCCCTTTCTGCAGAACCTCTAGGTGGTGGATAATTTTTTTTTCAAGCCCTCTTGCCATTGGGTGGCGGAGGGGATGTACTACTTGCTGCTCTTTGTCACTTCAGACCCTTCCTCTCCTCTTTCTCAATGTTCCTTCCCTGCCACTCAAACACACACAGTTTTATATCACATATCATCAAACTATAATAGCCACTATTTATCCTTGTTGTGGTCATTTGCAGACCCTCGGGTTATTTCCTTTCACTGCCTTAAGCTTTTAGCTCCCAGTTCAATGAACTTTTTCCAATTCTATTCCTCCCATATTTTTTTTTTTGGTGATTCTTATATGCATATAAATGATCTTTCCAATACCTTAGTCTCCAAGTTCCTTTTCACTCTGTGTCCCAAGGACCAATGTCTCAACACTAATTCACCCTTTTCCCAACAAATTCATGATTTTGACTTCATTATTGTAAAGGTAAAATTTCTAAGCTGATTCTAAGCTGCAAAAGTCTGAGTTAAAGTGTAAAAGACCGGGTATTGTAAGGTCTCTAAATGGCAAGGCCTGGGCTAAAAATAAAGACTAGGTATTGTTAAAATTCTTCTGCTACCCCCGGAAACTGTAATCTCTGTAGCTGTTAGGACAATACCTGAACTGCCCAGTAAATATCTCCATTGATTCCCTAGTTGTTTAATAGCTAAGGGCCCCAGGTAACATGGCACGTAAGCTTCTAGGCTCCAAAACCAATCAGTTTAAATTTGTACCCCGCTTAGAAATGACCAATCACCCCTGCCCAGGTTGTTTCTGCCAATGTATGTACTAATCCTGACTCAGAAATGTTGTTCAATTTTCCCGCGCCTCATGATGATTTGTTCTGATGTATGCAAAGCCCCTCACCCTCTCCAAAAAGTGTACTTAAGCTCCTCTTGACCTCTGCTCTGGGCTCTGGGCTGCTCTCCCTTCTTGAGTGAGCACAGAGTCCTAGCGTGCTGGAACGGATCCCCAATAAATGCCCCTCTGCAATTGCATGAAGCTGGTCTCTCCCTCCAACGCTCCGCCGGACCCTTACAATTATGACCTTCAACTACTATATAAACAGATAGTCCCAGCTTTAAGTATCCCATTTTTTGACCTCTACATCCACAAGATCTATAGTCTACTAAAACTTCCATGTTTTACAGTCCAGTGCCATCTCTGCATTGTCCTTTTCCTTTTTACATTCCCTAGTCCATCATAAGCTCTCCCATACTTTCCTAACTTCCAAGCCATCATCTCCTTTTATCATTTTCACCAGGCAAAACCCCAACCTGAGTTGAATCCAAATTTCTGTATACTTATTTCTGCACTGACACAGTAAAATGGAGCTGGAGAAAAATATGCATATTTATGCTGGCTTGTTTCATTTTTATTTAGTGACATCTATCATCATGGATGCACCTTAGTGCATCTCATCAATATGTATTCAGAGGCACTCCCCGTGTGTTTTAGACATCTACTTCATAACTTCACTCCTATTGTTAAACCTCACTCTCAGCTGATGGCATTGCTTCATCTATCTACCTTCCTTCCTTCCTTCCTTCCTTTTTCTTTCTTTTTTTTTTTTAAAGAAAGCACCCCAAGAGAATTTGTGCAAGGTGTCACCATTAAATCTTCTTCCTGTCTTCTCTCTGCTTGCATATGCATTCCCTCTTGTACCAGTGTCTTCCCTTTTGTAACTGCTATGGTCCACTTGGAAGTAAAACTCACTTCACTTTCCACCAAACTCACTCCAATAAAAATTATGTTCATACCACCCCAACAAAACCATAGCTGTCTACACTCTAGAACAAAGATGATCTCATATCGCTAAATCTAATTTCTATGTGCTTGTGTCTGTTCATTGTCAGTGTTCTAGGTCCAACAGTATTCTATCTGAGGAACAGAAAGCCTCGGCTTTAGTTTCAATTCTAATAACTTCCTTGATGTGTATGTTGTTCCCAATTTCTCTCTGTTCCCTATAAGAGGATTTTATTTTTCCTAACAAACTGTTTGGATGTATACATGGCTTTAGCCAATGAAATATGAATAGTGTAGTGTGTGAAGTCCTAGAAAAAAACTTTTTTAAGAGACACAGATGATTCCACCATGGTTCTCACACCTGTACCACACAACTGAGATGGGGTTACTTCTTCAGCCCAGGTCCTGGGATGGAGGAGATGTGGGACCCAGTGAAAGTTAATTCACAACTGCCCAGTGTGTGGATGAGAAATAAGCATTTGTCATTGTTACCTTCAAAGTTTTGGGCTCATTGTACACTTCGTGTAGTGGCTTTGGACAAGTGTCATAGTTTCTCACTTAT